CCCCCCCCCCCCCCACAGGATTTATAACCCAAAATGACAGCCAAGGGTAAAAAAAGATCCCGGACCAGCCCCAGCAATGGAACAGGGTCCCATAAATCACCAAAGGCACGGAAACAGATGAGAATGGATGCTTACCTTCCAAACTCCCCAGATATAGCAACAACAGGAACTGTGAGTAGCGGAGCATTGATAACACCTTCGATAAACTCACTTAATGTGGGTTCCCCCCTCCCTGACCAGGAGTCAAGCCCAGGACAAATGCCAGAGGGTAATGGAGATAATGGTCATTTGAACTCTCCGGGGTGCAGCCCCTCCCTGGACCATGATATGCAGAAATATCGGGAGATATGTTTGCTGTCAGTGGAATCAATGATGCTGATTTTGAACAGACTAGGTGAAATCTCACAACAGATTCAAAGGCTACTTGACTTGCATCCCCTACAATGTTTTCATGGAGTCAAGCCTGCAGAGACGCCCAGGTGCTCACATGCGGAGGACGCTCCTCTGACCACAGCTACTGTAAATCACAGTAATAAACCAACAGTTGAAACTAAAGCATGCCTCACTCTGCAAAATACCCAGATAGTTCTGCAGCTCAATCAAAATGCTTTGGGCTGGAGTCATAAACAACAAAATGTAAAATCACTGGCTTACTTGCTCAGAACCCAGCCCAAACTTATTGACTTAAAAGATCACCATTTTCTTCCAACACAGAATGGTGTAAAACGAATCCTCCTTACCTTCAACTCCCTTGAAATTCCAGGTCGTCTAGCTCAAATAAAGGACATCTTATGGAACAGGCACAGTATAACTATCAGTAGGGTATTTAAGGATCTGACAGTCAATCATCTCATTCCTCTAAATACATTAGATGCACAAGAACAAAAAAGAAACCTAACACAGTTAACACAGCTCCACAACAGGAATTGTCAGCCAGCAGTTGCTTACATTGATTTGGAACTTCAATCAGACCCTAATACAGATTCTTTCACGGTGCCTCCCAAGCCAAGCCCCCCCCCTCTAAGACCATTGCAAAAGAAAACAACAATGATAGAGACCCATCTGTGACCCCGGTAATGACACAAGTAACCAAAAAGCAGATCAAAGACACTCCTGCAGGTGCTGCTTTAAACATTCCACATACTATAGACTCTCCTCAAACCCAGATGGAGCTTGCCTCTCCACCGGTCACACGTGAGGGCTTACAGACAGCAAATGAGTTTGGCTCTCTACTCGCCAATGACCCACATTTCATTACTCATGTGGCATTGATCCATCCAGCCCCTTCATCAGAAGGCCAGGTTTCTTTTTCACCAAACAAGGACCTGGACCTGATGCAGAAGGATCATGACCAGGCCACAGACCCCTTAGGACTATGACAGCTACAGGACCAGCACGGGGTCAGCCTACTGACATGGAATGTGGCTGGGTGGCTCGCATCCATTAGAGACCCTTGTTTTATAGACTTTCTTTCCCACTATGATATTATTCTGATCCAGGAATTTTGGGCAGTAGGTGATCTGATAGCTAATGGATTCCACTCGTATTGTGTAGGGGCAGAGCCAGGGGCTACATATGGAAGAGCCAAAGGTGGATTAGGGATTTTAGTCTCTACCACTTTACGTACCATAACAAGGCCCCTTCCCTCATTAAAAACAACTGCCATGGCAGTGCTAATTCAACTTAAGTATCAGACCTTGATGATAATAAATGTCTACTTGCCTCCAACGAGGAAGAAGGCCCAAACTAGAGCTTTATGGTCAGAGCTGGAAAATTATGCTGCAGACCTCATGGCACAGAACCCAAATGCCTCTGTAATTTATGGGAGGGGATCTCAATGCAAGAATGGGACCTGATGATGCCACACTCTTTAAATGTTACAAAGGCCTTCCTTCTGCCACTGAATATGAGGTTCCACTTCTAACCCGTTGTTCCAAAGATCAAAAAACAAACTTTGCAGGGTTGTGTTTGGCGCAATCAAGATCACAACTGAATCTCCACATCTTAAATGGTGCTCTGGAAGGTGATCACCCAGCGGAATTTACATATCTTTCTGGCTCTAAAATGAGCGCCATTGACTATATAGCCATCTCAAGGGACCTTCTTCAATATGCTAAAACCTTGGAAGTTAAGCCCAAGTTTGACAGCGATCATTTTCCTGTCCTGCTGCACCTAAATTCTTTCTCCCAAAATACCCACACAGTGGAATGCTTTCAACCCTCCCCACCACCTCCAGGAGGAACCCATGTCAGGGTCAAATGGACTCCTTGTCTGAACCAAAGAATATCTGAGGTTCTAGCCTCTGATCAACTAATGGGTCTACAGACTGCCTTGACATCGTCAACATCCCCCAACATACTACTTGACAACTACATGAACATCACTCAAGAAATACAGAAGCACTTAAGGTTTAACAATTTTACATCAAGGAAGCAGCAACAGCAATACTCCAAGCCCTGGTTTGATAAAGATTGTGTTAATGCTAAAAATGCTCTTGTTGCCACTTACCAGGCCTTCGTGTCCAATACCTCACCATCAGCAGCGCAAGACCTCCTTCAACAAAAGAGGCATTACAAGCAAATGCTTGCATATATAAAAAAAAGGAAGCCATGAAAAACAACTGGGCTCAGCTTATTAAAGCTGTCAAAGAGAAAGACTCAGCCACTTTCTGGCATATTACATCAAATGCCCAAAGATCTGATAAACCTATTGTGGATTCCCACATCCCACCGGGGATTTGGGAGGCATATTTCCAGGATCTCTATATGGACACCTCTACTGGAAGGGACTGCCCCAACCTCGATATAGAGAACCTTCCACCATGGCCACCTGTATCAGCTACAGAAATTAAGAACCTGGTTGCCCAACTACGATCAGGCAAGGCCCCAGCAGAAGATCTTATCCCAGCAGAGGCCATCAAGAACAACCTGGATTTCTGGACCCCCATCCTAGCCTCACTTTTTAC